GCAAAACAAGTAATACATTTGCTTCTACAGCTAGGAAGGTTTTGGTCTTTGCCTCCAGGTTATGAATTTGAAAAGAACATCAATATGGGTGAGAACAAGACTGAACACATCAAAGGAAACATAGGAAATCTAAACATAACTTTAGAATAGTAACTTCTAATGAAGCACCAATTCAAATGAGAGAGGTGAAACCCAGGAGGTTGCCAATAGGCTTTCAGGAGTAGCTCTAGCTTTTGCTTTTTTAACATGATTTGTGTCTTAAAAAGCCATGTGGTCTGTGGTGCAGGTAAAATATGGGAAATGTGGATGAAAAATTTCAATTATCTTCTCAAGGATTTTCCTTTTGTTTCTGACTAGAAGAAAAAGATCAAGTTGACCAAACAACTTTGCACTGATACTTTCTGCCTACTGTCAAACAGCAGTGGAAGTTGAAATATCCTTGAAGCATTCCACCTGTAGTCACAGTCATTAGATAATATTGATCTGAGTATAATCAGACTGATCAGATAATAAGACTGTACACAGACAGAGGGTTACAAATCTAGATTCCATTTAGTTAATAGCTAAATTACTGTTTGCCACTGTGAAAGAAAAATCCCAGTTCACGCATTCATATACACTATCAAAGAAAATGAAATGGAAGAAAGATTTCACTGCATTTCTCTAAAGGGAAAACATCTAGATTTAGGGTTGTTAAGCAGGTTAATGACCCGTTGCACAAGACTAAGGAATAAATTATTACTGAGAGAGAATAAGTAGAATGCAAATCTGAAATATATTTTCTTCAATGGAAAAAAAAGATTTCTTGCTTGTTGCTGTTGATTGTTTTTCTAGATGTCACTTAGTGGTTCTATGTAGACCTGAAAATGCCTTTCAGGAAGAATTTTTAAACAAAATTGACCAAGTTTGGCTAAGTGTAAGGCTGGTACTAAAAGCTGTAGGTGGGAAGTGTTACAAGCTTTGGTTATCTGTTGCCAAAAGGGGAACAACCTACAGAACTAATGAGAATTTTGTTCTTCCTGCCTGCTCCACTCTATAATATTTCCTTGAGGATTAAGAGGGTGACAATTATGGTGAGACATTTTGTATGTTTACCAGGAACTCTGTGACCAATTCACTGAGAATAGATGTGGTAACAAAATTTCATCACTGTTGTCTCCACTTACTTTGGATTTCAGTTTCCACTCTAGATACAAAAGAGGTCAATTGTGAGTACACTGAGCCTTCTAGATCTTCATCTTGGTTGTATTATTAGTTGCAGAGACATCACACTTCAGTACCTTTGCATTTGGCCAAATGAATTCTGAAGACATTCCAGTACACTCTATTTATGTTAGCAAAATTTTTTTGACAGTTCTTTAGGCGTAGGTTTGCTTATTATTGTTAGAGAGGACGATCTCAGTCTGGGAGCTGTTGTTATAACTCAAGTATGAAATAAAAGTGAATCTACCAGACTTCTTTCTTTTTTCAGGTTCATTATGAATTTCTCTGAATATCATTACTGAAGCTCTAAAATGAAGAAAACACCAGCAGGTTGGATTTGATGTCTATTTTCTCTGAAAGATTTTTGCATTCCATGTGTGACTGATTTTGTGATAAGGTAACCCTCCGGAGGGCATAGCTTCAGTTTTCAGATAATTTTTTTGCTTTCTAAACTAGAACAGGAAAAGAGGAAACCCTGCCTGATTGGATCGCCTTAGCAGCAATATTTCTTCAGGACTTTTGCATCAGAGCAAATTAGATCATTCTGCACTGATGTGATATATAATTCTCGTATCTTCTGTGCCATCAGCTCCTTGGGTTTGGTTTGAAGGGATAAGAACTAAGCTGCAGCATTTGAGTGGAATTGTTTTTATTATTGGAATCACAAGATTTTTTTATGGCCAAGAGAAAATCTACCACAACAGCCACACAATGTGACTCATTCTTAAATATCAGGAACCTTAATTCTGTCAGCATCGATTGGACATGAAGCACGTCCATTGCTTTGGGGCTTTATGTAGCCCTATGAGCAAAAAGAAACTATTTCCTATTTGCAATTCAGTGCACACTGGGTTTATTATTTCCTTTAATTCTTCCTCATGTTTAAATAACTGTTTATTAAATCATTTCCCAGTGTTTCCTTTTTAAGTGTGTTTTGGTGTATCAGTTGAGCACAGCTATGCTAAAGACTGGATCTGCCGCTTAAAAATATTCATTGATGGCAAGTAATGAAAAAGTAATGACAGCTGAAACAGATAAAAATCTGACTTCAGCTATTGTTGAACTTGTTGATCTTTAGTGAAAAATGAAATATTAACTTTAATGGAATATCACTCTCACTGCATCTGCCATCATCACATTACAGGTTGTGATTGTTACATTTTTCTCCCTCTACTGTAAAATGAGTCTTTGGAACAAAAAGGGCTGATTGCTTCATCAGTTCATGATATCATTCAGCACTTAGGACAACATTAATTTCTTTTGCACTCCATTTGCATTCCCTAATCACTGGAAATACCCTGGAAAGTCTTATACCATTTGATAACCCAGCCAGACAATATTTTTTCACTGAAGTCCTGTTTTGTTCCCATTCCTAGAAGTATGGTCTTGTTCTTTAGTCACTTATATTGAGCATAAATGATGATGGCTCTTAAGATGAGTCATATGAATTATGGTAAATACATTTTGAACCTTTTGCATTAGTTTTTTATGAGAACTGTTGGTAAGCAAAATAAATATGCATGAGATAGATAGCAAGTTTGGTGAGTTTCAGTTGGAAGTAACTATGAATTTATACCAAGATTACAGGTCTAACAACATATAAAACTGAATTACTAGGTTCCATTTTGGATCATCATCTGATTCTGTTTACATAGAAATTTTAATCCCTGTTGGGGAAAAAGATGAAAATCTGGGGTTTACTTGACACTATATGCCACCAACCATGGCATATAAATCTTGTCAAAAGAGAAAGTAGCACTAAGGAGGCAACACAGAGGGACTGAGCAGTCCATATCAGTTTTTTAAAAGCAGTGGTGTATTTTCAGCCATTACTCCTTTGCCTTTTTTGTCAAGGACTCTGATCAGTCAGCTTTTTCATATTAAAAAAAGGTGAATGTAGATAACTAGTTCACTAATGTTGATTGTTACTGAGCTTGTGTCCTTAAAGAAATTAGTCTAGAATAAGACCTGTACAAAGCTAAAGAATTATAGTTGTCATCAAATAACTCTTTTAGAAGAATATTATTTTACATGAATATAATTAATATAAGCTTTCTGCAAATATTCTAAAAGACACATGTTGGGAGCACCTCCATATATAAAACTTATTTTTCAGAAGTAGACTTTTTCAGAAGTAGACTGTTCTTACTTTCTTATTGCTCTTATACCATATTCTGCACACATCAGGAAGGGTGGGAATTGGTGCTTGACACAAAGATTACTTCAACAACATCATTCAAAGGTGTGAGGATAGCAGAGAGTAAAGTACCTACCAGACATGACAGTGAAAGAGTAAAGTATTTAACAATGAAAATCTATAATTTTTTGGGGTACCTAAGTGGTACTAGGTGAATATAGAATTATTTATGCTACTGAAGTATTAATAATACAGATATATTATCACAGAGAAATTCAGGAAAACATTATGCCCTCTTCTTCCTTTTTTTTCCTGCTATATAACTTCAAGCCTCAGTGTTTTCACTGTCTCAAAAAAAATACTTTATGACAAAGATCCACAGAAAAGCTCAAAATGAAGAGAAACAATTCCTATTTCAGTAGCTCTAGCTGCACAAATAAATAAAAAATGTCATTTGATAACATATGTGACCCAAATGGCCATTTCTTTTCAACAGATACAATTTAATCTTTGAGCTGCAGGTGCAAAAGTTACCTCAAGGGAGAAGCCTCAAACAGGGCAATTTTACAGATGTTTTACTTGGTGGGAAATGTTGGGATGATTGTGACTTGGAGCTCTTTTTCCTTCTGCCATCCAACAGTGGATCATACATGACCCAGTACTTTTTCTTGAAATATGTATATAGATAGATATATTTCTATCCCTTGCACCAGATTGGAACATGGTTCAGCATAATATTTGCTCCTTTGGTCACTGTTTAGCAACTGATGTGAGAATGGATTTTCATTCCAGTTGTTTCTAAGCACTCAAAGGAACACATTTGTTCTGAATTATCTATCTGGACATCCAAGTGGTTCCTAAGAGAATCAAATGGATTTAATACTGCCTTTGATTAGTTCCCACAGTTCTGAAAATGTATTCACCATCCCAGACTTTGCTTGGTTTTGCAAATGTGTCAGGGGTTTATCCTGCTTGATGCTGAAAATGGCATTCCTGTCGTAAAATGCTAACTTGAGCTAAGAACTTTGAGAAACTGGGCACTCTTTAAGGAAAACAAAAAATGAAATTTTTTTCCTGACCTCTGAAGCACTTTATTGTATTTAAGCCAGCCTTGAATCAACCAAGATGGCTCACAAAACCCAAACATGTTCCACAAGTCACTGAAGTCTGAAATACTATGGACCACTGCCAACTTCTGACCGGCCTGCAGGGGCACTATTGCACCACCGGATGAGTCACCTAAAGGAAATATTATTTTGGACTTGGCTTCTTGAAAACAAAAACCCTTTGCATCAGTTTGTAGACAAAAAGTTCTAAACAGAAAAAAATTACTCTTGTAAGTATTCTAGTAATGTCTTGCTCCTGAAGATTGACTAAAATGGGATATTTCCATTGCAATAAAATAGCTATATTTCCAAGCTGACCTTGAAGCATGTACAAACTATTCCTTCAGGATGGTATCACAGTTTCTGAGCTAGATGCCTGAGACTATACACTGCTGAGAAGTAATGAAAGTTCTCTTTCAGCTGCGGATGCTGTTCTCAGCCTTTGATGGGTTCCTAGAACGACCCTGCTAATACCACATAGAAAAGCACAGTGGACTAGAGAGCAACGAATGAAAGCAACCCACAAGGACCTGAGAGCAATGAGCTTCTGTGGTTTATTCACAATGGCAAACGTGGAAGGGATAACATCCTGTATTTCAAAAGTAAAAACTTGGCCACACACAAGACTGGCAGACTACAGTAGGTGCTTCTCCATCTGGCTCTCTGATCCTTGGCAGCACAGATTTTGAGAAAGAGTAGAGAGACACCAGATCCTGCTCTCACAGTGTGCTGCTCTCTGGGCAGCACACTTTGATGACTTCGCAGTGGAGGATAGGGCTGAAAAACGGCACCTTCTTTCCATCCATGCCCATCACAGCCGCAGGAGTGCCACTATTCACAGCAGGACAAAGTGACTGCAAAACGCCATCAGAGCAGCTTTTTAACACTGAGTAGTGGTGTAAATGATGACATCAGGTACAAGAAAACAAAGAAACAAGTTTATTTATTTCTATTGTTAGGGAAAGCACTGTCTCCAGAAACGTGTATGAATTAACTTCAAGGACATTCTTACAAATCATTGAGAGACAAAATCATCTTTATCTTGCAATATGTGAGCAGACAATTGTCTCTCTGTATCTCTTACTTCCAAATGACATTGCTTCTACAATATATTTGTTCCAGTCTCTCTGAATCACTGGCTGGTAATGCAAAAATCTTAGAAAAATTACTAATTTTGGCCTCTACAAGATGATAACAGAACAAAGCCCAGATCTAGTACCATTATAGCTGAACACAGAGATAAAATTACATTCTTAGACTGTGTTATGGGTTGACCTTGGCCACCTCAATCCATGACATGGCAGTACCACAAAAGTGGTAAAAACATTAAAAATCATATATGTCACCTTGACTGTGACAGGCAGGAGATATTTCTAACATAAGTAATATGTCTCAATTTCCAATAAATGAAAAGACTTAGAAGTTTTGGAGAACTATTTTTGTTTTGGAAATGACATTCCTCTTCATCAGACTGTGGCATGTGGGTGACTTTCGTGATAGAAGTTATTAAAAAATACCAGATCTCTCAGCGAGAGCTACTGGCGTCATTAACCCCCCGAGAGATAACAGAACAACAGGAGGCATTTCTTAAGATTATTTTGAAATTTAAACATATTGGTTTTGATATACGCTTTTCTTCCTGGTATGTAATGATTTCAAAAGTATTATAGCTAATTGCAGATGTTTTCTTTCAAGAGCCTCCTCCTGCTTGAATAATGCACATGAGATGCGTGAGATTCTTGGCTGATACTCTCACTTCTTTTAATACTTTGTTTTGTGTTTGCCACTCAGATACACACATTGACAATTAAGACACCGATACTTAGCAGTCCTACTCAAATTAATACGTATTCGTTATGAAGAGAAGAGAAATTTTACAAACCCAGAGGGTTTAAAAATTCTAATGGTGGCTCTGACATGTTCAAACATATGCTGTCATATATATCTTCTAAACTTAGACTATACCTTGGTATTATAATACATGGCTACCAATCCTAGAAAAATATGAATAGCCTAATAATATATGCATTGAAACAACTCTCACACTTATGACACTGTGTTAACTAATTTTAGCACATAAACATGTGGTTAACAATTAATATCAAAGAGCAAAATCATGTCGAAAGACTCTAAGCCCAAGGATTCAATTGGTAATGGTGGGAATTTTTGCAATATAAATTAATTGGTGTTTCTGTTCAAATGGCTGTTGACATCCATGAAGATGTTCAGTGCTGAGCTGGAGACCAGTTGTTGGTAAGCCCTTCTTCAATACCACCACCTGCGTGCAGGACGGCCAGAAAATGGAAATATCCCGGAGACTGCAGCTGCTTCAGCAGCCTTGACTCCAAGGAAAAGTGGAAATGGTCATGGCACAAATGAGCCATGAGTTAGCTAAATTTGGATAAACCTCTAATGAGGACAAGGAGGTATGGAGCTTTCTCATGTATTAGCAGATTCATAAGTTCTGGGGGTTGGATCTTTAATTCTGACCTTTTAAAGGCTTTGATTCAAAGCACTCAAAGATTTTGAAGGAAGTGGCAGTTCTGTCAGTGCAAACAGTGAAAGCAATTTTACCACAGCTTTCTAGTCTGTTCCCCTGCCTGCTACTGTTACCCTCGTTCTCTTTGCAAAAACAAGTAACCAGAAGAAACTACACAGACAGGTTCTAATCAGTACTTGAATTTAGTACTCCACTAATAAGATTTTGTGCATAACACTTACTATGTGTTAAATATACTTCAGTTCACTAAAAAAAAAAAATCAAAGAACTTTTGAGCTGATCAAACCTAGAACTTCTCAGTCCTACAAGAGTTTCTAATAAAAGACCAGCCAGTGTGTGTTCCTGCTCAGGAGGACCTGAACACCACAGGTATTACATGTCAGGTAAAAAGAAAAGAATACCTTATATATTAAGAGCCATTCAGCTCCAACATGTGAGTTAAAGACTAATAAAGCCCTTTGGTAGAACATTCAGAGAGCACAGAAAAGATCAAAACATGAGTCAGTTTGTGGCAGCCAGCAGAGACACATCTTGACAGGCAGTGGGCTATGTTTGTTGTTCAAGTGATGGTGGGATGGCAACAGGCATCATCTGCTCCAAGAGGAGAATCACTGAGTCACTTTACCTTGGACAATCCTGTGGATGAGTCAGTTTTGCCCCGAGAAATCAGACTCTGCAAGGTTACACTCCATTCCATCAATTCATTAATTTCAATTTAGCTTTAGCCCTCTCTATTCACCTTGATTCATGGCACAATAATTGTACTTTTATTTTTTCAACTTTGCTGTTACTGAGAGTCCGACAAATGTGGGAGATAGCACATTCTGTTGGCCTGAAGTGAAGCACTCTTAAGCAAGAATAGAGAGAACAGCAGCAGTGTTGTTATGTCAGGAAATGAAACAGATTAGCTCTTATGTCCACTTTAACAAACATTGACTTGTAATTAGCCAATGTACTAATGTTGAAATTTCTAAATTATCAGTATGGTCAAGGCTTTTCTGAAATGTGGGATCCAGAATAAACAAAATTCATAACACAGCTACCTCTTGTTCTAATAAGCCTCAATAGGGCAAACACTTAATTTGTATTTTTACAACTTCCGAGACACAAAGAATATTGTTCAGTAACATAAGTTCCAATTAAACAAGTGCTTTTAAGTTTACTGAAGAGAAGTGTCTTGAGTACAAGCATTCCTGAGATCATTATATGAAGATATAAAGGTATGCTGACATAAAGGGAAACATAAAGGGCTCTGAAGGAATTGTAAACCTAGAGTTGTGATAAGGAATGGAAATGCAAATGGTCAAGGAAAAACAACTTGGACTGATTTTTAGGAGAGATATCAAGGAAGAAACAAATCTTTTGTTCTGTAAACTGAGTTCATTTGGCATGAGAATAATACAATGATAAAAATCTTTCAGTCTAAATTTCTGGCTCATATTTCAAATCAGATTTAAATTGAAAGATTAATTTTCTTTTTTACTTTTGTATGGTTGTGGTATACATCTGAAATTGAGCAGAGATCCTCCAAAAATCTGTGCAGTCTTTAGTAATCAGAAGGGAAATTTCTTTTAGCATTATTGTGGGAAAGGTTTTTTGATTCTTTTTTATCCTTTTAATTAAAAGCCTGTTACATTTTTTTCCTTTAAGATATTATGTTCCCTGAAACCTAATCTTATGATGAGGGTGCTAGTGGAGCTCTGTTCTTTTAGAGAGACAATCTGAGCTTACGTGACAGTTGCTTCAGTCCATTACTTAACCAGATGAATATATTCTTTTCAGCACTGTTTTCCTATCTTTCTCTTTTTAAAGCTGAGGAATCAGATACTCAAACACTTTGTTTCGGTTTGCTTTGCTTTACAGAAATGGATTGTCTCGGTTAGGAAGGCAGTTCACGGCTGTAGCTATTATTTATTCTCTTTGGTAAGTGTGTAGAAATATCTGCTAAATGAGATCAACAGTATCTTCTGTTGTACAGAAATGAAACAATCTTAAGTGAGAATCAGCATAGTAGCACCCACTGCTTTTGGAAAGATGCTTTGAGATTCTTACTTAACTTGGATATGAGCAAGTTTTCAGCTTTAGGAAGAGAAAAAAAACTTAACTAAAACTTTGGTTTATGAGGTTGAAAGGCAGCTGACGATTTATTTAGTTCTAAATGTGCCCTTTGACATTGCTATAATTTGCTATGGACTGCCATGTAACTTGAAAAATAAGTAAAACAAAAAGAAGGGGGGAAAAAAGACCCACCCTTAGCAGAGTATTATTATGGTTAAATTCCAAAGCTAAGTTTTAAATTCCACAGCTAACTCATCTTCATGTCTTGGAACATAACAATTTATAACAATGCAAGACAATAATAACCTTAATACCTTGAAACACACATTTACCCATGTGACTGTGGCAGTGTAGGTCATGCTACTTTTTCAATTTGTTTGCTTTAAACTGAAGATTGCCAAACCACTCCTTTTCCTTTCATATTTCAGTCTAGATTACTTCTTTGAAACCATCTCTGGTTTGTTAATATGATCAGTCAATAAATTTGTAAAGGCTTTCTTTATAGGCATCTTTGTGAAAAGTCAGGGTTCAGATGTTCAAAGTCAGTCACATATCTAAGTGATAAACCACAACTGTAAGTTCTCCGGCTCAAATATCTGCTTGCAGCAGTGAGCAGCTTTTGACTTAGAGCAGAAATTTTCCTTTTATTTCCCCAAAACCAGCTCTGTAAAAAATGATAACCAGCTTTTAACTTGTCATCTGAAAGGATTACCTTTAAGCTGAGTAAAGCTGTGTGGTATAGCTCTTTCTACACTGACAGATAAAGATGCAGCACATTCCCGATATCCTCTGTCCATCAGCAGGCTCACAGCTCCTGTGTGAACTGAAACTGCAAAATGAGGAGGGTTCAAATTCTAGAGCTGTGAATGCATCTCCAAACTAACTCTGCTCTTCTCTCTCCTTCAGCATGTGGGGAATATATTTGCAAGTGTAAAACAAGATAAATCCTTTCAAGTTCCAGCATTTAATTAAGCTTTCAGATATCTTTGTGAGTGAATAAAGACCATCTAATATGCCTGTCTACAGGGAACAGATCAGGAATACCACTCCATCTGTGAAGTTGTTTGCTATCAGCTGGAAAAAAATCTCAACTCAATTAGTCTCTCTCTGTGTTAGTCTCCTCTGGAACATTGTATCTACTATAGCTGAATCCCAATTGTAATAAATGTACTTGAACAAAAAAATACTTTGACTTCTTTCATGATGGCCAGTGTTTCTGGCAGTAATGGGAAATTGGATTTAAGCAGTGGCAGGTAAGCTGCAGGTACAGAAACTAGCATGGGAAGGATGATGTTAAATGATTTTAAAAAAAATTTTAAAAGTGTTCAAGGTTGTCTAGCAGACTGGAGCAGAATTGTTCTGTTTTTTTTTCTTCTCACACACTCTCTTCTTAAAAGTAGATGTATGTAGGATTCCCAAAGTAGGAAATAAGCCTGGTTTAGTGTCTAATTGAAAACTGTAAGGATTTGAAAAGTAAATCCCAACAGCAGTTCACAGGGACCACTGGCAATGCTTTACTCCACAACAGGAATCAATTTAACAACCTTACCTAGCATAGAGGATTTCTTTTGTCTAGTTGGTCTTAACATGCTTCTCCAGTACAATGCATCATGGTAACCACGTGGGAAGAATGTTTTTGGAACAGATGATGTTTCACCACCCCATAACGACCTGATCCCCACTTAGTACCAAAGTCATGAATATAAATAAAGACTGGGTTAGAACAGTCTTTTCCCACAGTATGTGAGAACTGCGGGACACTGACATCCCAGAAACAAATTGTTCCTGGGAACTGTAAGATGCTCAAAAGTCACAGTCACTAAAATGATTTAGAATAGTGCTAACCTTCCCATGGTAAAATATGAATCAATGTGCCAAATGTCAAACATTTGTACTTCAATTTTTTATGCCTAAGTACTTCAAAGAGGAGCTATGCAATTTTCCTGTGTGTGTAAAATATCACTGCAATTCAAACATCATAAACCATTTTCAGCCGTCATAACCAAGTCAAGATTGAGTCTATCTCCATTTGTATTGTTCCAGTTGGCTTCCTTAAGTATCCAACGCAAGCATTCAAGCAAAATGAAGTAAAGAATTTCTCTCTCTAAAGGTAACCTCTAAATTCAGTATTCTGAAATCAAAGGAATGAACGGCCTACTTGAAAATCAGTCATCATTGGGCCAGCTCTCCTTCTGAGTTCTTCCCCTAACTACAGTTCCTCCATCCACACTGACGTTCCCCTCTTTCTCCTCCGGACACCCATCCCGCTCCTGACTACTTCCATTTTCCTTGTTCCATCCCTACATCACGCCCACTGCAATGCCACTAATCCAACACCATGCTGCCCCACCTCTTCCTACTACTGAGCTACTCTGGGGAAGGAGATCAGCACACATTAAGCTCTCTCTCCAACCCAGCTGCCAGACAATGAACAGCAGGAGTACCTTCCAAGACAGCTGTTTGTACACTGTGGCTGGGTCACAGGCCATGGGGGCAATACACAACTTCACTCTATTGAGTAAAGTGTGTTTTACATCAGCTGCTCTGCAAGGCTGCCTGCAAACCACATGTAATAAACTCTTGAAGATATTTTCTTTATAGTTCAAGTCTTTATTTTTAATCACGAGATCAAAAGGCATTTCTGTAGGTTTGCTGTATACACACGTAGCTGAGAAGGATTAAGGATATTAGAATTCTTGGACATTAACACGAACCTCAAGGAAGATGTAATGTGTGGAAATATTTCCTCGGTTCTAATACTGCTCCATATCATCTACCCATGCATAGACAGACCATGGGCTGTGCCCAGAAAAGTAATGAGACTGGCACGAACAGTAACGGGGTACGCAAAAAAAGCCCCACTCTCCAAAGGTGTCCTTTGGCTTCTGAGGGCTCTAAAAGCACTCACATCACATTTCCAAGCTGTTTTCTGCAAGCCACGGCTGATTTTTCACATCACTTTTGGGATCCATCCGACATTTTTGAGACCGCGCTCAGCTATGACGGGAGACAGTGCACATCTATGAAGGGGCCTGGAACAGAAGCTGCCGGCTCTGTAACACCAGGATATTTTGCGGGCTTGTAATGGCTGCAGTACGAGCAACAGCGCTCCCGGTGCCCCACGGGGGGCACTAACAGGAACCCATGGCACTGCTCAACCCTTTGGATGCGAATAGCTCTCAAC